CGAGCACTGAGCTTCGTGTGTGGAGCCCATTCCAGAAGTTGCCAGCCTGCTCGCTCTGTCCCTGTGTCCCCTTTCCCTTGGCATGTGTGGGTTGGGTTGGGTTGGAAGGGACTCTAAAGGCCAAGTCCAACCTCTGCAAGAGCAGGGGCTCCAGTCAGGCTGCTCAGGGAGGTGCATTGCCCGGAAAAATCCCATAATACCAACAGAGAAGGAAATGCTCGGTTGCATTTGTGTAGATGTAAGATCCACCTGCAGAAGGAATGTGAGGGAGTGATTTAAGAAGGGGCTGTCAGTGGGTTGGGGACGAGCAGTGCCTGTGGTGGCCGCAGGGGTGGCTGAGCCTGGCTGCTCCTGCCATGCTGCTCTGCCAGCAGCCTCCAAGGAGAGTTGTTTCCTCTCCAGCAGTGCCTTGGACGAGAGATACTTTGACTACAGTCAAAACCAATATAGGAAGCAGTGGAGCTAAAGATCACAGCTGAAATGGTGATTCCTGAGACAGAAAACCATGCTCAGGATCCTCACTAGGAATCAGCCTGGTGAGCCAGGTGGAATGATCACAGATGGGAGGAATTGGAGCTAGTGGTTGCTTGGCTGAATAGATCCTCAGTAGTTGCCTTAATGTGTAAACAAATCAATGTCGAAAGCAGCAACGTGCCTCTCTTTGCTTTGGAGCAGCCAGTTTGATGGGGGTGCGAGTTCAGCTGAGCACTTGGGAATTGCAGACACATATCTGTGTGCCCAGGAAGGCAAAGGCATGAGTAGACACTTTTTAAAACATTAACTCATGGAGGAAAGAGGGTAAGCTGATAGAAATGACCATAAATTATAAATGAGGCTTTTCAAAAATTACAAAGGGAGAAAAAGGACATTGGCATCCAGCAGTGTCTGGAATAACAGCCGGGGAGTTCAGCTCTGCAGCGAACCACAGGGATCTTGACAATGTTTGTTGTGTGGGTAGTAGAGGCAGAAAAGGGAAGGCATTTGCTGAAAATACTTCTCCTGTCTATTTAAAAAACGCAGAGGATGTTGTTATATCATAGAGGAAGAAATAGATTGGTTCCATTCCAGTAGAAATTGGGAGGGTTGTTAGGCAGCGATTACAAATTCCAGAATGATGTGGTGTAGGTCAGCAGGTCCAGGAATTCACGAGTGGGTGCCTGGAGTGTGCTGGCCACGGGCAGTGCACTGTCCCTGCTGGCCAGCTGTGGCAAGTGGGGGAAGTTTCCAGGAGGAGGAAGCACAGGGCCAGGCACGGCAGTGCTGGGAGCCAGAGCTGGCCAGCTTGGCACAGCTCCTGGGCACAGAGTGCTGGGGAAACGGGCTGGAGGTGATGTGCCTGGGTTTCTGCACAAGCCTTGGGGAACTGGGCCAGCCAAAACAACTTTCTCTCTTTTGATGAGATTACAAGTGGGGCCAATACAGATAATAAAATTGGTATAATCATGTGACTGCGTGTTGCATGGCAATTTAATTAAGAAACTGCCAGCACACAAAAAAATCAACACGGTGTACACTAAAAGGATTAAAACCCAACCAATGGCCTTCTGAAAAAGAATTTATTACAGACTGAGAGAAGCTGCAGCCATTTGGGCTGCCATGGTGGTTCCTTCCTTCATCTCACACCTGTGTGCTGTCTGCTGTGCTCCTCAGTGTGGGGGTCCCTGCCTTTGGCTGGAGAAGAGCTCACAGAGGAGGAGGAGCAGGAGAGGAAAACTAAACTGCCCAAAACCATAAAGCTGCCAGCACAGGAGGGAGCGAGGATTGATGAAGGGATATATGGGGAATAGGGAAATGAGATTATATGCCAGCACAGCCTGAGGGAAGCTGCAGAGATAGTTGGTTTGAACCTGACAGGAGATGGGAAGAAGCCCTCACAAGCAAAGTGCTTTAGACTGCTGGGTCAGCCTGAACCAGGGCTGTAAAGTGGGAGCAGCTCCCGGGCCATGGTGGGGTGAGAGACTCCTCTCCCAGACCCTGGGCAAACACAGGGAAGGGAAGGTGTGTGTGTCTGTGTGTCTGTGTGTGTGTGTGTGTGTGTGTGTGCCCTGGCCACCCCCGGGCTACAGTGGCTCAGCTGGCAGCTTCTGGCCGTGTGGAGGTGATGGTCAGTGCTCCCCAGAGCCACTGCTGCATCCACAGAGGAGGAAGGGATGAGCAGCCCCTCCATCAGTCAGGGTGAGCAGGGCTGTGCATCCCAAACTCCCAAACTGTGCATCCCAAACTGTGCTGCCCCTGCTCCTGCAGAGACCTCGCTGCTTGCTCCAGGCAGAGCCGGCTGCAAAACCCAATTCATGCAAAATCTAATTGCATTTCAGAGCACAATTTAGCTCTGCTTTGCCCTTTTATGTGTTAGGGTTGAACTGCCAGAACTTTGCTGTCTCTGCTGCTGATCTTCAGTGTTAGAGTAGATTTGATAGAGATAGAAATGATCCATTTGTTTACTTTTATTGATGAGCCTTACAGTAGCAAATGAGCTTGCAATGCAGAACTCTGCAGCAGCTGTGTGAAAACAGACTGAGCTCCCTGCATAGTCAGGGCTGGTTTTCAAGCCTGCAGTATTAAACCAGACTTAGTGCCTTTAAAAGGTGCTGTTCCCACTAGAGACAGGCTAGTGAAAATGCCTTTGGCATAACACTTTGTACAGCTACAAAAGAAATATTCACGGGCACAGAAACACCCCTATTGCACGCAGGATGAGTAGTGGTGGCTGTTGGAGGTGCCTCCACAAGGCGGTGTGCTGTGGATTTACAGATGGGGCAAGGTTTTGTCTTTCCTAAAGCTTGTGCATGTGGTGAGATGGGTCAAAATGGGAGCTGGAGGTGCCCTAATCCCAGTCTATCCCAGTTGTCTGACTCCTGTTCGTGGCTCTTCCTTTGCCCCTTTGCTTTGTCTGGCACTTGCCCTCCTCGTGCCTTGAAGCTGCAGGTTTTCAGTCGGGAGAGGATAACCCGCAGTGCTGCTTGCGAGCAGCACACTAAGAATAATCAGTGTGCTCCTGCCGTGCTCCTGCTGGGGTGTTGGGATGATAAATACACATGTAAATGTAGAAAACGCCAGAGATAAAATGGATGACAAATGGGCTGTGCTTCCTCTGCTCCACAGAGGGAAGGAGATGCTCACCACATACGTGCGGAGGCCAGGGAGGATTTTAAGCTCTGCTTTTATGATCCTAAGATAATAAGGTTGCATAAGGAGCTGTGTAATTTTGAATTATGCCAAACATAAGGAATTTCTTTACCTTGGCTTTCACAAATCCAAACAAATGGGCCAAGAAAGGTGAGAGGTGCTCTACAGAAGGCTGGAGCTTTGCTGTCCTTTAACGCTGCCATCTGGGCACTGCTTGTGGTCCAGCTGAGTGCCACGGAGCAGAATTGTGGAAATGATTCCTCTTACCATCTTTGCAGCTTACACACGCCCAGCAACCCCTCCCAAATGTTTTGTCCTGTGAGCTGAGCAGGCTGTGGCTGCGTGGGCATCGTGATGTGCTGGATGAAGTCAAGCGAGGGAAGAGCCTCGTGACTGGGGAGATGACTCGAGGGAGCCTGGCTGCTCTGGGGGAAATCCAGCTCGGCAACTCTGGCCACGTTGCCTCTCCAGTGTGGCTGAGTGGCCCTGAGTGGTGCAAGGCACCCTCTGAGCTGGGGCTGCAGCCCAGCACCAGCAGTGCACCTCTGTGCTGTGCATTCCAAACATCTGCTTTGTCATTTTCTAGTGCACAGTCATTGTCGGGGTGCTCCTCTGAGAGCTGGAGCTTTGGGGTTTCCTGCACTTCCCTCTGACCATGGAAGGTCACATTTGCTGAATGCAGCAGGAAGACAAGCTGGGGACAGATATTTGACATTATTTATCTTGACTGATTTGCTCTGTGGAAAAAATTATTGCATAGTCACATTTCTGCATGCGAATACAAATATAGCTCCCTGCACATTTAGCTCCAAGTTTACACCACAGGAAAAAGAATGTTCCAGAACATGCTAATGATAATTTAATATTTTTAAATTGCAGCTCTGTGATCTGAAATTATAACATTATGGTGCTGTTGTTCTTTGGGGCAGTTGGAAAGGGTGATTCAAAGGAAACATTTGCATGGTAACAGCTCCCCATGTGTCTGCTGCCCATCTGCTGGGTGCAGGTATTTTGTGGCTGCAGGCTTTTCCCCCCTGCATCTGGTGGAAGACAAGACCTGATGTAAGTCAGGGTTTTGAAGGTTTATGTCTGTGGTCTAGCTGTAGAAGCTTTAAAATCTTCCTTTAAATCTTGCAAGTCCTGAGGATTTGCTTTGGCTGCTGCTGCTGGGGATGTCCTGTCTCCTCTGACCCTCACCTGCCTGTGAGCTCCAGCTGTGCCCAAAGGCTCTGTGAAACCTGCTCGTGTCTCCCTCATGGGGGATTTTTAAATGTTTGATCATTCTAAAAGCACTGGAGCTGTGGATTTGGTCTGTGTGTGTGCCCCTGACACCTTAGGATGCCGTTGTGTCTCTGGCTGAAGCTCAGGAGCCCCCATCTTTCAATCTGCCCCACCATGGAAATGCTCCAATAACAAATGCTGTCCTTCCCTTGCTGTCTGATCCCTGCTGTGCCTTGGAGAGCCTGCAGCCAGCAGGGTTTGGAGAGGGGCCAGGGTGGACCATTCCTTCTGCTAATGGCAGGTTTCATCCCACAGCTCGTTTCAGCTGGGTGCAGAGCTCTCTGAAAATTCTGAGAAGTGAAAATGCTTCTCTGCTTCTCACCTGGATCCTTCCCCCTTTTCTCCTCCAGTGGTGGATATATATGGTTATATATATACACACACATATATATATACACACACATATACATATATATATACATATATATATATATATACACATATACATATATACACACACACACATATATATATGGAAATATCTGTCAAAGGGATGTGAAATCTGACTGTGGGCTGGTGTAGTGAGCACAGCAACAGAGCCTCTTGCTCCTTGTGACTTCAGTTCTCCTTCTTCTCTCCTTTGTGCCCTCCAGAGTCGGAAGCATGCCAGCAAAGTCCGCCTGTACTACATGCTGCACCCCATCGATGGAGGCTGCCCGGCCAAAAAGCTCCGCTCAGAAAATGTGGGTACAACTCCAAGTCCCTGTTCCCCAGCTGCTTTGTGAATCACTGACTCTGGGCTACAGCATTCTCTCTTGCAGCCACACGTGATCAGGTGCCCAGAGGTAACATTTAGATTAGCTGAAATGCAAAGTAACTGGAAATAATTTTCAATAAACTACACAAGAATTATTATGTGCATCAGCAACAGTAATTGCGTTTTTAGTTATTTGAATGTTCTTTCATAGGAAAAAATATGCTGATAGCAAATACTCAGGGCTTGCTCCATTCCAGTGTGATGGCTGGGACTGCTGGTGAGCAGCTGGGGCAGGTGAAGGGGCAGTGCCTGTGGGGTGATTGTGCCTCCAGGTGTGGGGTGCTGGCCACTGAGGGGTGCTGGATGGCCACTGAGGGGTCCTGGATGGCCACTGAGGGGTCCTGGATGGCCCCTGTGGGGTGCTGGATGGCCCCTGTGGGGTGTTGGATGGCCACTGAGGGGTCCTGGATGGCCACTGAGGGGTGCTGCTGGCAGTGGAGCAGCACTGGGGTCACTGGGCAGTGTCACTGGGGTCTGGGGACAGTGTGGGGTGGCAGTGGAGCTGTGCATGTGCAGAGCTGCTGTGGGCACACCTGGCAATGCCAGGCTGTGCTGTGCCCTCCTGCCAGCAGGAGATCAGGGGTGCCACCACAGTGGCCTGGCTGAAAACCCCTGGGCTGAGCAAGAATCCCCAAAAGCAGCATCACCTCCCCAGGGCTCTGTGGCCTCCTTGTTCTGGCAGTCGATGTGCTTTATCCAAAGGCTCGTCTCCCATGTTTGCTCTCAGTCTGCCAATTTAAAGATTGGCCATTGGCTTCCTCAGCTGTGTTCAAATAAACAAGTGAAGGTGAGGAATTGGACCAGCTCACAGCCATTTGTCAGGCAATAGATAGAAGGAGACTGAATTTTTAAGAGATGGCTTCATGGGGAATTATTCATTTGTCTCCTTCCCACATTCTGGGGCCGTGTGAGGGCTGCAGCAAGGTTCCCAGCACACAGCATCCAAACCAGTTCAGTGTGACTGGGGCTGAGTGCTATTGATATTCAGTGTCAGATCTTGTAATTAAAGGGAGAAGCATGCAAGTTTTGCCCAAGGAATCTGAAAGCTCGTTTATGCAGTAATTAAAGCACGAGTGAACTTTTCTGTTGCACACAGGCCGATTGCAGATGCAATCTGCCCCTCCACAAGAGCATCTTGCAGTGATTTTATTGAGTTATTAATGGCAGTGTGGGCAGTGCCATGGACAGGTGCATACAGACAGGGAACAAACGGGGGCCTCTGAGGAGTTTGATGATGTCTAACAAGGAACCACATACTGCATGTGCACCTCAGCATGGGATAGAGGACAGAAAACTAATCAGACCTCAAATCAAAGTTGAACTATTTCCCACTGCTTTTGTGAAAGGCAATACAGAGAAGGAATGTAATTCTGTGTTTGCTGGTGCTTTTGCCAAGGGCAGCCCTAGTGGGGGTGGATTAACGTGTCCTCATGTTCTAGGTGAATGCTAGGCTAGGCCAGACCTAAATTCTAAAATTATTTGTGTTATAAAAATATCGCAGGGAAAATCTGCCAACGTTTACAGCTCAAAGTAGGCCTGTTGCTGATCAGATGTTATACAAGCCTTTGCATTTAGAGAGAACAGAACTATTTAGGACATCTCTGATTCTGCACAAGAACATCCCTACACGTGCAGGGCAGTGCCCAGTCCTAGCAGTGTCACTCAGGCCATGGCACAGCGACTTTAATGAGTGTTAGAAACAACCCGTGAAATTAAATTTCTGTAGAGTTATCTGCAGCTAAAAAGGGAATATTAGCCTTTTTTTCATCAGAACTGTTACATGGCTGTATGCCATTGGGTTTGTGTCCTGCTGACCACAGAGCTGACACCTTGTCCTTCTGCAGGAGGGAGGGTGGCTGCAGCTGTGGGTGCTGGTGCAATGGACTGGAAAAACAGCATTTGCTTCCTGACCTCTCTGTGAGGTGAAGGGAGGGGTTGGCTGCTCTTTGAGGATTGCAAAAACTGCATTTCCAAAGCACCCCTTAGCCCTTTGGAGTGAGAAGTAGTGTTCCAATGGATAACAACTCGATTGTTGTGCTCTTCCTTATTGGTTTAATTTGGTGTGGAGAAGGGGAGGAACCTCCTGTCTTGACCTCTCATGAGCTGGTACTTGCTCTCTGCTGGTACTATGACAAAAACAAGCTCCAGAATGGAAATGGCCTGAATTTCCTATGGAGCAGCACAGAAAGCAGCTCTTTAACACCGAAAATCAATTCAAATTTAAAAGTTACTTTGCAGCACTTTAATGCTGTGGTTTATACTGCTGTGTTCTAGGGTTTGTATAATCTTTTCTTCTTAGTAAAACTTGGGAAATGAAGATAGCAGATTTGTATCTGTGGAATAAAAATCCTCGCTTTTCCTGTGGATTGCTTAAGGAACATCCAGCAAAGGACTGCGAGTGCCTTGCCTTGTCTGAGGATTATGCCTTTTAGCAGCTTGTTAACAGGCAGCCAAATAAGTGGAGTTAATTCTGATGGATATAGGAGACTGAAGTCTCTGATATTCCAAAAGAAGCCGTATAAATTAGCTGCAGAGCAGGGGAAGAGTGGGGATGTCAGTGTTGGGAGATGGATGCTTTAACTCCAAGCCAGTGATGTGTTCTGCTCTGCTTCAGTTTGTAAGAAGCCAGTGGCTCCTGTGCTGCAGTGAAGGTTTGTGAGGTGGGATCAGCTGGAGAAAGCTGCAGGAACAAAATGTAGAAATATTCCTTGGCTGGGCCTGGCAGCACGGGGTTAAGGAGCTGCCAGTGGAGCCACAGCAGCTCGGAGGAGCTGTGGGTGCTGGCTGTGGTGAGGAGGCATGGCTGGGTGCACAGGGCTGCAGAGCATCCCCAGGGAGCAGCTGCCTGGGGCACCCTGGCCGAGGCCCCGTGCGATTTCAGCACCTGCACAATCCCTGCACTGGTGTCATTCAGCAGGTGACAAAGGACACCGGATCAGCTTCCCCCGGGCTCTTTGGTTTCAGGTAAAACAGCCCCTGACAAATGAGAAGGTATAATTACCCTTCAGAACTCCTCTAGCTCTGTGCAGGGGCTCGGGGGTGGAGGAGGGAAGGGAGGAGATGCTGCAGACCTGGGGAAATCTTAATAATGGCAGAGCCCAAATACCTGGAGCATCCCACTTACAGCTGATGGCACTGGGTGTGTAAAAGTGGCTGTTAGGCAGCAGAGCTCTGTCCTGTGTGTGCAGAGGGGCTCCTAGACCCACCAAGACTCTGGGCACACCCCTCTGCTGCTGGTGGAACTCCCACCCACACATCCAGGGACTCCAGAGACTTGGGTGAGCCCAGGTGAGCTGTGGGTCAGTGTAAGTGGGACCCTGAACTCTGCATGAGGTAGTGGAGGGCTCTTTGAGGGGGTTTTCATTTTTTATTTCTAATTGCAGTCTAGCTGAGAAAGTAGGTTGAAAAGGAAAAAATGTCACTGAAGAGCAGCCCTGGCAGAGGAAGAGACCCTGGTGCATTAACACCGAAGTGTATCAGCTTTTCAAACGAGCTCTGTTGGAGGCTCTTTATATGTTGCCACTGATGATCAATAGATACTGGAAATTTTCTACTCTGCTCTTAACTTTCAAGTGATTTCCCTTTGAAGACATAAAATATCTTGAGAGAAAGCTATTTAAAAGAAGTGCAAATTACCCTCAGAACAGTACTAATCACCTCTTGAGATTCCTCCCTAAGGTTTGATTTACAGTTATCAACAACCAAAAAGTGATGAAAATCGGTCATTTTTCTAAAAGTGCTTTTTTTTTTGGGGGGGGGGGGGGGGGGGTGGGAAATGACCTTCAGTGGTGGGTCAGGTGCCCAGTCAGTGTTGGGTTCACCTAGGACTGGTGTTGGATCTGCTGGAGGCACCTGTGTGATTTCAGACACTTCATTTGCTTTTCCCACCTGCAGAGAGGGCTGTGCCCCCCGTTGTGTCCCTCTGGGTGTCCCTCTTACATCCGGGGGAAGCTTTGGTGTGGGATGGCAGGGAAGGCTCTGCGTGTGTGAGTCCCTCCAGAGCACGGGAGTAAAGGCTGAGGGAAGGGAGCTGTGCCTGGGGATGTGCTGGGAGCTCCACAGGGACAGGCTGAGCTCCCAGTGCACACCCCACTGGAGGCTGCACTGGGCTGGCCCGAGGCAGGAGCAAGGCTGGGAGAGATGAGGAAAGGAGCCCCCTTGGCAGCCATGGCCTTGGCATAGCAGCCGAGATTCCTCCCTCCTGTTCTTCTCTCTCTGTGACTGTGCTCATGCACCTCTTTCTTTTGTCTGTTTTTGTCTCCACGCAGGGCAGTGATGGTGACTCAGTGGATAAGAACAAATGCTGCACACTATGTAACATGTCCTTTACCTCAGCAGTGGTGGCAGAATCGCATTACCAAGGGAAAATCCATGCCAAAAGGTTAAAACTGTTGCTAGGGGAACAGCCAGCACTAAAGGCCACAGGTAGGTGCAGAGGAGCAGGAGGGGCAGGTGCAGGGTGGGCTCAGGGTGCGAGGGGCTTGGCCAGGTGCTGGCTCGGTGTGTGCAGGCAGAAAATGGGCACAGGGTGCAGAGCTGAGCAGTGGTGGCTGCCAGAAGCAGCTCTTCCTTTCTGTTGCTGTCATAACAACCTTTAAAAATTCCTGATGCTCATTATTGTCTGCTTTGTTTATGTAGATGAGGGGTTTATCAGCTGGGACTGGCCCTGGTGCCAGAGCCCTATCTCTGGTTCCACAGTTCCAAAGTGTTTTCTCAGTGGAAGGCAGTGTCTCCGCTGGGTGCAGATAGCCAAGCCTGGCTTTAATTATCAGCAGTTTAATTATCAGCTCAGCTAATATGTTTAATAAACCTTTGGTGTTACTGTACAGTACAGAGCATCATCTTCTGTTGCCACAGAGGGAAACCCAGGCTTTAAAAACCCTTGGATTGATTGTCTTTTCATTTCTGCCCAGATGCGTTTCGTGCTTTCCTCCACAGTGATTCTAATAATGCAGCCTATTAACTTTCACATTTAAAAAGTCAAATGTTGAAATTGGACAATTTAACCATCTTATTGTTTGCTTAACCATAAGTCCCTGAAAACCACCAATAATCTGTGGAAAAAAAAAAAATCCTCTGTGGTTGTGGAAGCAGAAAATGCTTGAACAAAGCACTCACCTTTCTCCAGGAAGGGTTGCTGGGCCGAGGTCCTGCAGACAGATGTGACCCAGAATTGCTGCCAGTGGCACTTCCTTCAGCACAAAATACAAATGGAGCTGTGTGTACTGGACCCTGCCTAGCATGTAAATCCTGGATGTGATTAGATAATGGGGTTGGCACTCTGTCTGTGTGCTTTTGTTGCCTTTTTAACTTCACAGGCTGTAGATACTGATACAGAGAATATGATTTGTCCTTTGCTGGGGCGGCTTGGGAGCTGTTGGCCCCTTTGCCAAGGGAATGTGGGGAATGGTGTTAGGTGGAGCTTTGCTCAGTTTAACTGGCCGTGCTGGGCACCAGCGTCCTGTGGGAGGTGAAGGTAAAGCCCTGGGAGGTGGGGACCCAGCCCTGGGTCAGCCAGGGGGAAGGCTCTCCCATGAGCTGTCATGGTCCTGAGTTCACTCGTGCTGGGCTCTTGAGGCTGCTCTGTAGCTGGCCCACAGCTGCAGATGTGCCCAGGGCTTGCTCAGAGCTTGGGCCCCATCCCTCACGTGCAGCTGGCCAGCAGCTCCTCCTCTGGCACCAAAGGACCTGCCACAAACAAGCCCTGGTGTTCCTGCTGGAGTCCAGGTGAGCTGATGTTCACAGGAGTGCTGCATCTCGGGGTGGGGCAGGGACTGATTCCTGTGTGAACTGGATTTGGGTTCACCCTTCAGCCACAGGGCCGGGCCAAGGCAGGGCTTGCTGAGAGCTGCAGCCTCGCATTGTGGTTTTTGTGTCACCTTTTAATCATCCAGATCAGCCCCACAAGCTGTGAGTGAGCCATGCTGCCTGCTCTGGAGTAATGGGCTCTTCAGCCACCCTAATCACTGGGAAGGAGCAGCTCGAGGACTCAGCAGCTCTTACAGACACTTGATCTGGAAGATGAAGCTGAGCTCAGGAATACATTAATAAGCACCTCCTTGCTCTCCAGGAGTTCTCAGAAATATGCCCTTTGGACACAGCATTTTTCTGGGCTCCCTACAGTCACCCAGCAGTTTTCACTGGACTTTGTCCCAGTCCTCTGGGGCTGGCAGCATTAAGTGTCTCAGAGAGAGTTTCAGAGACTCCACTGCTCATGAGTCCTGGGAGCCAACCCTGAGTGTGCTGGATGCTCCTGGGGGGGATATTCTGCTGCTTGATATTGTGGAGTTTCTGTCTCATCAATCCCGAAGAAAATCACATCTATTCTTAGACCCCTTACAGAGATCTGCGTTCTCCTTCACAGTTTCCATCCAGATGGAACACAGACGTCCCATTCTCTGCCAGTGCTGTCGGGAGAAGAAGTGACCCAACAGTTGGGTTTCTCACAAAAACCATGTCTCATCATGACAGTGAAATCGTTGTGATCTTTGCTGTGGCTCTGCTGTACAAGGTTGTAGCCCTCAGAGGCTTTATGTCACCACTGTGGCTGATGAATTCCTCTAGTCATTTCCAACATCCTCTGTCAGCTTGGATCCCATCACCACCACGAGTTAAAAACCAAAGAATTGTGGGGGAATAGCTGCTGTCTTCATCAATCCGAGTGTGAGGACCTGCAGGCATCATTCCAGGAAAGTGGCAGTGGCCTTGGCTTTGGGACATCAAAAGGGAGACTGAGTAAATGGCTTTTTGGTTTGGCTGCAAGGATCTGTCCAGTCCTAGTCCCAGATTTCTGGGATTTCTTCTGAGGAAAACCAAGTTTCCCAGTGCCCCCTTGTTGTGGCTCACTTACTTTCTCGTCCTCTTGCTGAGTTTCTGGAGAGTGCCAATGGAAAAAGTTGGGTGCCATTTAAATCCAGATTGGAATAAAAAGCTTTGGATGTGAGAAAGAAGTCAAACATTAGTTCATTGCTGGAGTGCTAAAGTGTTTCTAAGTTAGTATTTTGCCTCTTGCAGCAAAGTAAGACTTTCTCACTTCCCTCCCACAGCGAAAGGGAACGTAAGGCAGACTGTCATGAGCTATTTAGCATTTTGAAATACTTGAAATAGTCAAACTCACAGCTTTTATGTTTGTGTTTTAGATGGAGAAACATTTTTAACTTTTGACGTTTCGTGAGTGTTTATTATTAATTTTCATGTCGCTGCTCAGGGAATGATGGCATTTGCTGTTCTGTAGCAGTTATGTAGTGCATATCAAGATGATAAATTCACATTTGTGGAGAAGTCAACTTTCATCTCTTTCTCTTTGGGAGAATTTGGTAGACTCGGGATGCTTTCATTAATTGCCAGGCTGGGCTCAGCACACCTTAGGACTGGTGGGGGTTGTCAGTGGGACCTGAGGAATGTGACTTTAAAGAAAACGCTTTGTCCTGTGAGTGCTGAGAGGAAATGCTTGCCCATGGCAGCCCCCATGTGATGCAGGAGGGGGCTCTGCTGTGGAGCTGTTGTCTCATGGGAGCCAGGTGTGGACGTGGGCTTGGAGCAGGGCTGGGGTGGGCAAGGATTTCCTCTCAGGGGTGCCAGGCCCCTGGCAGCCTCCCTCCTGCAGTGTGTGTGGGGCAGCACAAGCCCCAGGCTCACAGAGCAGAGATGCTTCTGTCAGGCTCCCTCAGCGAGCAGAGATGGAACTCCTGTGGACATCACCAGCTCCGTGAGCTTCAGCCTCCCTGGTGCCCCTCGGGCAGCAGCGTGCACAGAAACAAGGATAGATTTAACTTCATAGCCTGGGGCTTGTGGAACAGCAGCCAGATCTGTCGCAGAGCCCCTGGGCTGCTGAAACTGCTGGTTGTTCATAATGNGGGGTGCTGCTGGCAGTGGAGCAGCACTGGGGTCACTGGGCAGTGTCACTGGGGTCTGGGGACAGTGTGGGGTGGCAGTGGAGCTGTGCATGTGCAGAGCTGCTGTGGGCACACCTGGCAATGCCAGGCTGTGCTGTGCCCTCCTGCCAGCAGGAGATCAGGGGTGCCACCACAGTGGCCTGGCTGAAAACCCCTGGGCTGAGCAAGAATCCCCAAAAGCAGCATCACCTCCCCAGGGCTCTGTGGCCTCCTTGTTCTGGCAGTCGATGTGCTTTATCCAAAGGCTCGTCTCCCATGTTTGCTCTCAGTCTGCCAATTTAAAGATTGGCCATTGGCTTCCTCAGCTGTGTTCAAATAAACAAGTGAAGGTGAGGAATTGGACCAGCTCACAGCCATTTGTCAGGCAATAGATAGAAGGAGACTGAATTTTTAAGAGATGGCTTCATGGGGAATTATTCATTTGTCTCCTTCCCACATTCTGGGGCTGTGTGAGGGCTGCAGCAAGGTTCCCAGCACACAGCATCCAAACCAGTTCAGTGTGACTGGGGCTGAGTGCTATTGATATTCAGTGTCAGATCTTGTAATTAAAGGGAGAAGCATGCAAGTTTTGCCCAAGGAATCTGAAAGCTCGTTTATGCAGTAATTAAAGCACGAGTGAACTTTTCTGTTGCACACAGGCCGATTGCAGATGCAATCTGCCCCTCCACAAGAGCATCTTGCAGTGATTTTATTGAGTTATTAATGGCAGTGTGGGCAGTGCCATGGACAGGTGCATACAGACAGGGAACAAACGGGGGCCTCTGAGGAGTTTGATGATGTCTAACAAGGAACCACATACTGCATGTGCACCTCAGCATGGGATAGAGGACAGAAAACTAATCAGACCTCAAATCAAAGTTGAACTATTTCCCACTGCTTTTGTGAAAGGCAATACAGAGAAGGAATGTAATTCTGTGTTTGCTGGTGCTTTTGCCAAGGGCAGCCCTAGTGGGGGTGGATTAACGTGTCCTCATGTTCTAGGTGAATGCTAGGCTAGGCCAGACCTAAATTCTAAAATTATTTGTGTTATAAAAATATCGCAGGGAAAATCTGCCAACGTTTACAGCTCAAAGTAGGCCTGTTGCTGATCAGATGTTATACAAGCCTTTGCATTTAGAGAGAACAGAACTATTTAGGACATCTCTGATTCTGCACAAGAACATCCCTACACGTGCAGGGCAGTGCCCAGTCCTAGCAGTGTCACTCAGGCCATGGCACAGCGACTTTAATGAGTGTTAGAAACAACCCGTGAAATTAAATTTCTGTAGAGTTATCTGCAGCTAAAAAGGGAATATTAGCCTTTTTTTCATCAGAACTGTTACATGGCTGTATGCCATTGGGTTTGTGTCCTGCTGACCACAGAGCTGACACCTTGTCCTTCTGCAGGAGGGAGGGTGGCTGCAGCTGTGGGTGCTGGTGCAATGGACTGGAAAAACAGCATTTGCTTCCTGACCTCTCTGTGAGGTGAAGGGAGGGGTTGGCTGCTCTTTGAGGATTGCAAAAACTGCATTTCCAAAGCACCCCTTAGCCCTTTGGAGTGAGAAGTAGTGTTCCAATGGATAACAACTCGATTGTTGTGCTCTTCCTTATTGGTTTAATTTGGTGTGGAGAAGGGGAGGAACCTCCTGTCTTGACCTCTCATGAGCTGGTACTTGCTCTCTGCTGGTACTATGACAAAAACAAGCTCCAGAATGGAAATGGCCTGAATTTCCTATGGAGCAGCACAGAAAGCAGCTCTTTAACACCGAAAATCAATTCAAATTTAAAAGTTACTTTGCAGCACTTTAATGCTGTGGTTTATACTGCTGTGTTCTAGGGTTTGTATAATCTTTTCTTCTTAGTAAAACTTGGGAAATGAAGATAGCAGATTTGTATCTGTGGAATAAAAATCCTCGCTTTTCCTGTGGATTGCTTAAGGAACATCCAGCAAAGGACTGCGAGTGCCTTGCCTTGTCTGAGGATTATGCCTTTTAGCAGCTTGTTAACAGGCAGCCAAATAAGTGGAGTTAATTCTGATGGATATAGGAGACTGAAGTCTCTGATATTCCAAAAGAAGCCGTATAAATTAGCTGCAGAGCAGGGGAAGAGTGGGGATGTCAGTGTTGGGAGATGGATGCTTTAACTCCAAGCCAGTGATGTGTTCTGCTCTGCTTCAGTTTGTAAGAAGCCAGTGGCTCCTGTGCTGCAGTGAAGGTTTGTGAGGTGGGATCAGCTGGAGAAAGCTGCAGGAACAAAATGTAGAAATATTCCTTGGCTGGGCCTGGCAGCACGGGGTTAAGGAGCTGCCAGTGGAGCCACAGCAGCTCGGAGGAGCTGTGGGTGCTGGCTGTGGTGAGGAGGCATGGCTGGGTGCACAGGGCTGCAGAGCATCCCCAGGGAGCAGCTGCCTGGGGCACCCTGGCCGAGGCCCCGTGCGATTTCAGCACCTGCACAATCCCTGCACTGGTGTCATTCAGCAGGTGACAAAGGACACCGGATCAGCTTCCCCCGGGCTCTTTGGTTTCAGGTAAAACAGCCCCTGACAAATGAGAAGGTATAATTACCCTTCAGAACTCCTCTGGCTCTGTGCAGGGGCTCGGGGGTGGAGGAGGGAAGGGAGGAGATGCTGCAGACCTGGGGAAATCTTAATAATGGCAGAGCCCAAATACCTGGAGCATCCCACTTACAGCTGATGGCACTGGGTGTGTAGAAGTGGCTGTTAGGCAGCAGAGCTCTGTCCTGTGTGTGCAGAGGGGCTCCTAGACCCACCAAGACTCTGGGCACACCCCTCTGCTGCTGGTGGAACTCCCACCCACACATCCAGGGACTCCAGAG